CTATTGTGGTGAATGATGTGCGTATAGAGGCGGTATGTATGAGTGAGTGTACAAATGAGTATGGCGTGTGTGTGTGTGTGTGGTTGAAAGGAGACTTTGGTGAGTTGTATGTTGTAGGTTTGGCCGGGATATTGAGGAATATCTTAGATACACGGATAAAGTGTGTGAACGTTGCATGGTAGGAGGGTTATTTTTGGTATGGATGCGAATGCGGTATCTCCCTTATGGTACAGTAAGGGAGGTGGCCGCTCGAGAGAAAATGACATGCGTGGACGTGAATTAGAAGAATGGATTATTGTGAATGGTATGCAGGTGTTAAATGAGCAGAGTGAATGGTATATGTTCTCTGGTCCGAATGGACAGAGTGATATTGATGTAACAATTGTGAATTATTCCTGTGTTGGATGTCAGTTTGAATGGAAAATAGAGTGTGAGTGGGGAATAAGTGACCATAATGTTATAAGTGTTAGTATGATATTGGATAAGGAGTGTGTGGAAATTTTGAATGTTGAGAAAAGATGGTTTTGTAAGAATGTTGATTGGGATGAGTATATGGATGAACTAAGACATAGTGCGGTAGCGAGTGAGCTTGATGTGCAAAATGATAAAAGTGCGGATGAGTTAGCGGCTGGAATGGTACGTTTGATCCAAGATGTGAGTGATAAGTGTTTGAAAGTATGTAAGAGACTGAATAAGAGAAAGATTGCATGGTGGACAAGAGAGTTAGAGAAAATGAAGAAGAATGTACGGAACAAACGGAAGAAAATGCAGAATGCTAGGCGGAGAAGGGGAAAATGTGTGTGAAAGAGCACTAGAGTATAAAAGAAGTTTGAGTGAATATAAGAAAGAGATGTGTAGAGTGAAAGAGGATTACTGGAAGAAATTTGTGAGTAAATGGAGTAATGAGGACCCATGGGGTCCTGCTTACAGAGTATGTAGAGGAAAATATCGTGGTGAATGTTTAAATACGATGAATGTGAATGGAAGAATGACGAAAACATGGAATGAAAGTGCGAATGTGATATTGGATCGCTTGTTCCCGGCTTCGGAGATGAATGATGTAAATGATGAACTGAATGACGGAAATGAGGTAATAAATGAGGAAGTGAATGGTAATGTAAATGGAGTTAATGGAGTAAATGATAAGAGTTTTGAATGGTACGAACTGAAAGAAGCAATTAGTGAAATGAGGTTGGGTAAGGCGCCAGGAATGGATGGTGTGAGTGCTGAAATGATGAGAAATGTAGGACGAGCGATACCGGAATATTTGAAGAGTATGTATGATGTATGTTTGAGGACGAATACCTGTCCGAGTGAATGGAAGAAAGCACGTGCGATTATTTTGTTAAAGTCTCCTGAAAAAGTTAAATCTGATCCAGGGTCTTATAGGCCGATTTGTTTATTATCAGTTCTGGGGAAGATCCCCTAGAGAAAATGATGGTCAGGAGTATAGAACGAAAGATGGATAGAAGAATGTGTGACGTGCAGCAGGGATTTACGAGAGGTAAGTCAACAGAGACTGCATGGCTGAAAGTTAAGGAGTATGTATCTCAGAGTGAATGTAAGTATGTATTAGGGATATTTGTAGACTTTAAAGGAGCGTTTGATAATTTGGAATAGTGTAGGGTGATTGAGAAATTGAGTGAGATTGAATGTAATGAGACTGGTTTGTGGAAAGATTATTTCAGGGACCGAATGGTTTGTATGACTGGAATAAATGCTATAGTATGGAAGCGTGTAGTACGTGGCTGTCCGCAAGGATCCATAGCAGGGCCGTTTATTTGGAACTCAATGATGAACGACTTGCTTTTGGATCTGAGTGCGTTAGGATGTAAATGTGTTGCATATGCAGATGATTTGTTTTTAATGATTGAAGGACGTAATCGAGTGGAACTGAAGAAAAAGGGAACTGAATGGATGAGAATTGTGTGCCAATGGGGAGAAAAAGTAGGAGTGAGTGTTTCTGAATCTAAGAGTGTGATGTTGATGATGAAGGGAAATCTGGCAATGACTAGAAGCCTGAATGTACGTATGAAAGATAAAGGTATGAAAAGAGTTGAATGTGTGAAATATTTAGGTATTTAGATGAGTGAGAGAATGCAATTTAAAGTGCATTTGAAAAGTTTGTAAGACAAAATAATTGGAGTGGTTGGACAAATGAGTAGAGTGATGAGGCGAGAATGGGGAATGAGAAAGAAGCGTATGCGTGTAATTTATAGAGGTTTGTTTGAAGCGTGTGTGATGTATGGAGCTAGTGTTTGGTGCGACAGTATGAAATTTCAGTATGCTAGAGATATTATGAATAGATGTCAGCGAGTGGTTTTGTATGCTTGTCTGAATGTGTGCAGAACTGTTTCGATGGATGGCCCCCCCCCCCCCCCCCCCCCCCCCCCCGCGCGG